TTTTCTGGAATTTTTTGTATTAGTAAAAACATGATATGGAGTACAGAAACAGGGGCAATGACAAACAAAATGAAACAAAATCTGAAAAGTTCAAAATTAATCTCTGGGAATACAATGAGACATAAATAGGAACAAATGGATCAGAGGACATGCACAAATGATCTGAATCTTTATCAGAATATTTATCCTGGAGAAATACGATGAGCTCTGAAGCTCATTTTCAGAGGCATCATGTGGACTGTCAAGAAAAGTTGGCTTGGGCAAGGGGCTGTGCAAGAAGGAATTATGGCCAAAGGCCAAGTTCTGTGAAGAAATGGAAGCAAACTGAGAAAACACACCCGCGAGGACGACGACTGTGGAAACGAAGCGATAAGTATGGATTATGGCATCACGAGACTCCTCAAGCATTGCGACGATGCGCGCCCTTCATTATAGCAGTGGATAGACCATGGCTCTTAAGGGTGATTTAATATGCCAACAGCTACACAGAAACATCAGAGCTTCTCCCAATGTTGGCATTCCGGCAAAGGACACCTCCACCCCCAACCCTGCATCATCCCTGAACGAATACACCAAAAGAAATCGCCTGGTGATTCAGTCACTGACCTTTTAGCAGCCCCATGCACAGTGGGGTTTTTTTTCTTTTTAGCAAAAGGAGCAAGCCAGTGCTTCAATCTGCTTCTGAGAATGTATTTTTTCTATTACTCCCCGGGCTGAATAAGGTGAATCGTGACAAGGCTACAAGACTTCAATAAATAGTTCATAACCATTACAGTGAGGTCATAGTCTCGGCGACCTTTTCAAGCCCAATTTTGTAAATGATCAACGACATCTGGAAATCGATGAACAAAAACACGTGATCTTGGGTGTCACAATCATAGCCCCCTGCGTTCACAGACTATAAACGTGGTAGATATGCTCCTCGGCTCTGTCCCGAGCTGATCAACACGTGTGTCATCCAATCAATATCTTAATCAGCTTCAGCCTCCCTTAAAATCATGTGACTTCTGCGTGGCCACCCCCACTCTGAATCCCTCCCATCTCTCCACCAACCGTGAAAACAGACACTGCTCCTCCAGTTGAGACCCCCATGTAGCCTCATCCTTTCATATCCTCATCTTTCCTGAAACAATAATTCTGTTAATGTTCCTTTAAAAAAAATTCTCTGCTCATACATTTTAACACAGCAATGGAGTCACGTCACTTTAACACGATGACGGAGAACTTAACAATAATTTTAAAGTCTGTTTTCTCATTCACGAATAAAGGCAGCCTGGGACACAAACCAGTTCGTATCTACAAGAGCCAGTTATTTTTAAAGGCCATGTCTTCCTTTTAGGTTAAGAGTAAATATTTTAAGGTTTGTTTTTCTGGATTAAATATATTTGAACATTCTTGCACTTAAATTGAAGATAACTTTTGGATATATTTAAAACCGTGAAATTCATGTACAGAAAATAGTATGCATACACTAAAAAGGATTAGTTAAACATGCATGAAGGATATGCAGTTTATGATGTTGGCAAGCACAGTGATTCAGCTGCAAAAGAGCACGTGTCAAACTTCACACCATTCCTGCCCATTTTGCAGTATTGTGTGAAGGGAATAAAGTATTTCAAGGTCAATTTCTAACACTCCAAGCAACCACACATTTCATTGTCACTTAAGTAGGGAAATGAATCAGACAATCTTCCTTAACTCACAAAGCAAGATCCCCATTAAAAATTAAATTAGTCTACATTTCACCAAGGACAAAACAAGCATATCAAAATATCTACTTCAAACAAATTTGGACGTTGGGGGCCATCCCAACAGCACTGATGATAATATCAATTTAATGACCTTTGGACCCTCACCATTTAAAATCACCTTCAAATAAATGTGGCGCTCATCACATTAACTGATGATACTCCAGGTGGTTGTTGACGGTGCTGGTGCCAAATTTCTGCAGTGCAAGGCTAAGGAAGTATGAGCACGGTGGATCAAGTGTGCAATGTAGACTTGAATTTCAACTTGGTCGATTTACCCACAATCTTCTTGAGACATTGCTGGGCAATAAGGTGTCTGTCGGTGTTAGCATAGCAAGGGCTCGCAGAGCTGTCCGTCTGAGCTTTAAATGTTCTCATCACTTATGCACTGCTGTTTCACCCACAATGATGCTAATGTTGTCCTGATATCTTAATCAGGACCATCCTGAAAAAGTTGTGAAACTCAGATAGTTTTCTTTGGTAAAATGTTCACATTAATCCAGAAGGGATTATCTCATGTTCGAGCTTGTGCTGCAATAAAGTATGCCTTGCTTAATGAAACCCTCCCGAGTTATAGTTTAAGTATCCAACATTTTCCTGTATAGGGGAAATGGTTTCGTCATAGCAGTGTGTGGATTAAATGTGAGCAGTAGGGAAATTACAGAACAGCAGGAGCAAGTGTTGCCTGGATTAAAGCTTCACAAAAATCCCATCGGACCATACGATGAGAGTGCATGGCACTCGCGTTATTGTTGTGGGACTCAAAAATGCATCTGGTGGCCTCCCCATTGCAGAATAAATTCTTCGTTATTTGAGACAAAGCCAAAATGCTTGAAACATAACACAGCATTTTTACTTCTTGTTGTAATGATAGCTAGATTTTTTTTTAGGTTTTCTTGAGTTTTTTAAACCGTCACAAACAATTTCTAGCTGTATAAAAATGTTTTAAATAAAATAAAGTTCAGAAAACTGTGTTCAGTTGTTAGAGCCCACCTAAAATTCAAATATATCAACATATACTGTAGTGTTGCATACCGACTTTGCGGAATGCACCCTTTTAAATTCAGCAGAAGGCCCTGAAAAATAAAGGATGACACATTTTACAATGAGCCCTAAGTGCTTGTTAACAAGAAAAGTTTCAGCCAGGCTGCTCTGCCATACCCCATGGCCCTAAACCTTATGAGTACCAGGCCCCTGCTGTGTGAGGAAAAGGCCGCCCCACTCTCCAGAAGTGGGTTCTTTCAGATTGACCGCCCTAGTTCCCCTCTGTGTTGCACAAAGTCAACACACGAGACGGCACACAAAGCATACCCACAGCTCTGCTGAATGTACAAGCTTTTATAGAGCCTTTTTTCAGACCAGGGTGTGTCCTGAAGAGCCACTGAAGAGCGAAAGAATACTTTTGTAAGACAAAGGTTTAGACAGGAGAAAAAAAAAACCCCGAAAAAGTGGTCAAACGAGTCGGATAAACTTTACAAGCTATATTTGGATTCCAGACAGTGCAATTGTCCCAATATCCTTTCAAAATAAAGGTTCCATGAAACAAACTTAAAAATTATTACAATGCCTGTTAAAGAATGAGTTTTGTTTATTAATCATGAAATGTGTACATCTTGTTTCATAAACTACAGGGCGCTAACTGTAGCAAAGTGTCAGCCCATTTGTTCATAAACCAAATGCCAAGCTGTTTGGGGGAAATATTTTACTCAACTCCCCTTCTTAAGGACGCAAGTTAAAAAAACAAGAAGCGAATCGAGTCAAATATTTTCCCGAAGCTGGTTGGCTTTTGATTCATGACAATCTGATCTGGCACTTTAATTCAGCTAGCAATGACTTGTGCCACAATCTACGCCCGTTTTAATCATGTCTCTTATTTATGCGTTTGTACGTATGCCAGTCATGCCATGCCACCTGGGTCTTCTTGCAACCTCCAGCCAGTGAGCTTTCAACACCTCATGTAACTGCAAAGAAGCACTATGGTGGCGAATGGTGGCTGTTGTATTGTATTTTTAAAAACGGCAAGTGCGAAACACATGACTCTTTAAATATCCATTCGGGCATTAATCTTGTTCCTGGCATTAAATGAGGCAAAGTTTTGCTAACTTGGTATTTTCTCCTTAGAGGCACAATAGCAGGCACGTTGGTCGTTTGATATTAAAAATAAAGCACAATAAGTGGAAAAAAGAGAGCTTGGGTGGAGGTTATTTGGGCAAGTCAGGGCAGACACAATTACAAATCTGTATTTAAATAAGGATATAAGATGTGCAATGAAATTGCCACACGGGTAATGTTTCGGCAGACAGTATATTATGGGTGGAACAATCCACACATGAATATAAATTATGAATCTCATGATACATGTATGGAATTGCCTATACAACAGTCGATGTTTTTCGATTTTGACGTGCCGTACGTTGATGTATTGTATTCTTGTCAAGCCACGCAGCCACTAATACGCATTACTATTCATTGTAATGACGAAAAATGATGTATTCTTTTAACAAATCGTGACCATAAACGATAAAATTAGTTGAATCGCCTAAGGATGACTCATTCCACCCCAACAGTCTACAGTGCCCTTTTTAAGACTAAGACCAGAAATTCAATCTTCATGTTAAGTCATTGGCAAAAGCACCAGTTTTCTATAACGTAATTCTACAACAATTTACTGCACAAGTATGTATTTAGTCTGGCTAATGACGCAGGTAAATCTAACATTGATAGTGGCGTGATTTAGAACAGCAATACCTGTGGTTGTTTTTTTTTAATGTGTAGCTTATGGAACTGCTGGTGCTCACCGTGCGTAGCTGATGACATTTACAATCAAAACGAACCAAAAGCACTGGACAACGCAAACCTATAATATGGCTAAATGCACACTTTACACTACTGCACCTGGCTTGGCAACAGGCGAGCCCAGGGTGGTTACAGTACGTTTAAATGTAAATGTCATGACGCCCGTGCTCAAGGCACACAGCGACAAAGACTCCTATCAAGCTGTATCTATAAGAGGTGGATTTTTCTCCACTTTCTAAGTATGTGTGATTAAAATGAATCCTGTTCTCCTCATATTAACAGTTACATAAGAGCTACATGGTACAATTAATCATATTATACCTAATTTTAATCCTGACAATCAAACAAAATACGCACACCTCTTACATTAGATTTGAAAGCGATGAACGAAAAAATGTACATTTAAATGATACATTTCAGTACAACCCGCATTCACACTAAATACGCGTTACTCACAGCACGCCACAGCTGCTCCTGAAAGGCAGAAGGTAAATCCAGAAGCAGAATGTGAGGCGACCTGGCCACGCAGCAGCCCTTACCATAGGGCGGGTGATGTCACGGCCTCACATTACGCGAGACATGTATACCGCACCTCACCCGTCATGTGTTCCCCTATTGGCCAATGTGTCGCGAACACTGAACATTGCACTGCGGGCTAACCCACCCTATCAAGTTCCCTTTCCTTGCTGTTGCGTCAACACATTAGGCTAAACCCAAAATCATAACAAAAAGCAAGAATGTACGAATGACATGTGGGCTATACCATGGCACAGGTGCTCTACATGAAGAAAAATAACGCCTTTTATTTTGCCCGCCGAAACAACATGCCTGCAAGCGATCAAAGTCCTTTTGAACACAGGTGTAACGCAACCGGCAATGAAATATTAAAATTGCACACACTATCGCAAACATGCCGAATGCATAAGTACCACACACAGATTGAACACATCCAAAGATTAGTGAAGCCACGGGTTAAATTTCAATAACAGCTTAGGCGTGACTATGTGGTCTGTAGTTAGTGCCTTTGCATTTGGGTCCAGGGTCCAAAGAGTGGAATCCAACACCATATCCCTGATAACGCACCAAGGAGAGATTTATAGTGCAACCATGGAGCAATTATTAAGTAGTGGCGCCATCTACAAATCTATGAGGATAGGATTTTGAAGACCCCTCCTTGACATTGAGACTCTCAAAAGGTCACTGTGTCAGTGTTCAGCCCTGAACTCAGAGGATAAGCCACAACCACTAAATTATTAACTCAAATTATGGCCATGAAAATATTTGTCTTTGTTGAGCTGTACATTTCTCTTATTATGCTGCATTATTTGTCTGTTATGAAACATTCTCGACATTTAGATGAGAAAAGTAGCTCACTGCTTCAAAATTGCTGCCCGTCTTTTTTGATGCATTGAAATTAAAACAATATGTCGTGAGTGTACATAAATAGAAATCACGAAGACGATGGGAATGCACACGATTAGCATAATATGGTCATTAACACAGTTATAAATAAGGCAACTAAAAATAACACGTACCAGTATTTTTCTTCCTTGACAAGGCTCCATCCAGGATGGTCTTCAGATTTTCTCTGAACATGGTGCCGATGTCTCACTGTGCGGGCAATAAGACAAAAATTAATAACATTTAGTATCGAGGAGGTGGAAAAAAGCAACATTTAATTCTAACACATATCATTTTGCTGGCATACAGTGGTCCAAAGCAAACACAGCCCGTGTCAAATGCTGCACTTGTGAATGGTGCATGAGGAATCCAGGGAGCAGTCAGTAGGTAGGGTTTTATCCCCTGGCTGTGAGGGGGCAGGCTGACCAAACAGAATTCCTGGCATGCCTGGCGTATAGACACCACACAGGAAAAAACAGCCCCTTGTCCTTCATCCGCCAACCTTCTACTGACAGCAAATCAGTTGACCTTACACCAGCATGCCAGCTACTGGTTTTCTTCATTCACTCAGCCATACAAGGTAAGTGCAGAGTACATAAACACAGAATCCACACTGTTTATGCACATACCACTCATACCATCCACATTCTAGACAGTACAATTTAAATACTGTAATGAACATAAACTGGATGTGCGTGTGTTTACCCAAACCAAGTAAAACAAATCTATTGGGCCCGTGTGCAGCGAGTCTCTCTAAATACTGGAGTACTAATATGAATCAAAAACCCAGAGCCAAAGAAAATAAGAACAAATTGGGACTGTACTACAGTTTATTCCAAAAAATAGAGTAGTAAATAGATAAGATACATTTCACGGCTTCATTTTAACCCTGAAATAAATTCTCTCTTACACACCATTATTTAAAGTACTGATTGTTCAGCCAGACATTACAGCACACAGGTCTCTTTAAAGAAGCACTCCAGAGTTGGTATCATGGCATAGATTTAAACAGTTCTGACTCGGGGAGGAAATATTTTCATTAATAGCCGTGTTTTTTTTCTTTGTGTGCAGACACGAATAGGTCAACTGCAGCACGAATCTTTCCTTCCATCATGCTGGAAAAAAACAAATCTTGATTTTGGGCTTCACGTGTGCAAAGTGCAGCAAGTCGACCAACAATGGCAACATATTGTAATGAATGTGCAATATATCTCAAATAACAGTACTGTAACATCTTTACCATCAGCGAGTGTTATCCAAAAGGTATGTGAAATCGGTTCTGTCATCACACCATATTCTTGACAGATGGAATAGGCTATATAATCCTCCCAACCGAATTCATCAGTAGATTTCAATTTTTTCAAAAGGTTTTTCACATTTTTGTTGCATTACATGAGGCTTTGCAGTTCAGCCTTTGCTGCCACGGCGTGGGCTTTTTGTATTGTGAGGCACAGTTAATAAGTCCAGTGAAAACATACAGAATGTTTACTCTACCGTGAATACGTGAGGAAGGAAGAGGCCGTATTTTTACAGCTTTCAAAAATCACATCCATTTTCAGTCTTTTACATCAACCATTTACCAACATTTTGCCACCAGGGCTTTATAGTTCCAGAGCTGAAAGACATACCACAAGCATTTATGCATACCACAGTTAAAGTAAATAAATACCATTCCCTGTACCCACACAAACATACAGTATACAAAGGCAAAGAATCCCCGTATAACCTTAACAGACTGTAGGGGCAAGTGCTGTTAGCAAGCACCTATTAAGGCATACGAGGGGGTGGGTGGTCAACACCCACGCCTGGCCGCCTTTATCTCCCTAGTAGCGATATTTACACATCGCACCAGGTACTCATTTGAGGCCGAGTCGACCTACGGGAGGCCAGAACCGGTTCAGATAATCGTCAAAGGTGTTGGCCGTTAGCGGGAATTGAACCCGGGTTGCCAGGTTCATAGCGCAACACGCTAACCTCTACACTACACAATCACAGTACATACGAAACACAACCAAATTTCTGAAGACCAAACATTACCGTATTCCATACTGTATGTGTTTTCAGGTAAAACATAAATCCATAGTCTGGCATAGTGTAAAATAGACTAAACTCTTAACACTGATCAGCCAGCTGGATTGGTCATTTCCTGCTGGCTAGACGTTCCCAGTCTCACTGAACCAGCCCCGTTGTCCAGCTCACGTCGTGTGCCATGTTCATGGAACCGAGACCTCTTCAGGCCCTAGCTGGCAATGGCTGTGCGTTCTGGCATCACAGACGTTCAGTGCCCAGGGCCGGGCCCTCAAGCAGTGTGCGTCTTCACACCAGGATGTGGCTGTGACATCCACGAGCCATGTTTGCATTTCCTGAATCAAAGTGCAGCCGAGTGTGGTTTTACACATCGTTACCAAACGCAGCCAATGCTCCCCCCCCCGCTGGACTGCGTCACATACATACATTATTTACACTGCTTATATACGGAACTACATATTATTTTTTTACTATTTTATATTTTGCCAGGTCAGGCCCACTGAGCTATGCCGCTCTTTTTCAGAAGCGACCTGGCCACAAATGAGAGCTCAACGAAGTGGCTTATCATGTGGAAATGTAAAGCAGTCAAATAATCTTACAACACATGCATGTTCCTGCATACCAGGCTAGGTAGTTAACATCTCGCCACCGTGGTCCCATATACATGCCACCGCAAACAGCATAAGTACATCTTCTGTATAAAGTAATGATTTTCATTAAGCAAGTCGGAAACAAAAATATACCTACTATGTAGGTTTTTAAGGTGGTGCTGTATTTCTCCGATAGAGTTTTCTTTGTGTTTGTAACGCAAGTTGTTTTGCATTATGTCCCAAATTTCGCTCCGCGTGATGCCCAATGATTTGCTCTGGAGCAAAACGTCATACATTATGCCGAACAACAAGCAGTTCAACGATAAACCTCTTGGACAGCTACAATTATACACATTTTCAACTCATTCACAAAAAAATAGCAAATATATTAGAAATCATCGAAATAATCTAACACCTTAGTTGATTTCAAATGCCAAATTTGATGACAAAAAATACCCAAGAAAGTGGTGTAAGTGTATTCAACATTTATCTCATTCCCTAAACATCCCTTCCGCACTCACCCATCTCCATGTTGACGCCCAAACCCCGAGCCCATTGTGCCTCTCCGGGTGGTGATGTCCAACTTCCTCAAGGAACATAACAAAAGCCCTTAAAAACCCACCCAGGCGTAAATGCCAGTTGGGCAGTTTCTCAGTAAAAACAGGACGGAAGCAGGAACATGCCAGTGAAAAAATCCAATACAGCATAGGCAGGAATTGGTGCCACTGTTGACCTTCAACGGGGCAGTGTGACCATAATTCAGGCACCAAATTACTCACTCTTGTTCACTTTGGTGCCTTGGTGGGTAAAACTGGGCAAGCCCCGGTGCTGCACATTCTAGGACACACCACTGACTACAGCTGTGCACCAGATATCACGTCACAATTTAAAATGTGTTTCTCATTGGGGGAATGATTAGATTAAGACAGCAAAATTTATAAAGTTGCTTCGTCAGTTTAAAACATACACAATGAGACATTAGTAAGAAAAATTAACGTAATATCATCGATATTACAATTACTCAACTTTATATCGTACAAACAGGATTTTAGGTAAGTCCATGTATTGAGACCCACAACACCAGCGGACATTGTTGCACTTGGCTTAATGAAAAGTAACGCTACTTGTTTGTACACATTACAGAGTTTTTTTCAATCTTGACAGCTGGCAAGGCACAAAGTCATAACTTGGAAGGTATGTTCTCAATATATTCTGTCGGACTACTGGCAAGCACTTACGTGAAGCAGAGTAGGGGAACTCAACGGGCTTAGCATGCCAAAGTGAATCCGGTCAAATGAAAATTTCAGTCTAGACTGGGGACAGACATCAAACGAAGGGATCCTAAATATTTGACCCAGAGCCGTATTATGACTACAAGTGCAAACGGCAACACGATGACGTCCTTGTCTGGATTGTTGTATACAACATTTCCACAGCAACACAATGTCTGTTTACTGCGGAATGTGGTTGATGCACTTTGTAAAATTAGTCTCTGAAATCCAGTTTTTACTTTACCCGGACAAGAGAAAAGTGAGAATGTGCATATTAACGCGACAATTAAGAACAAAGAAAATTATGTTAGACAGTAGGGCTCGCAGAAGTGCGCAACGCAAGGCCAGGTAAATAAAGGTAGGCCAATTTTAATTGCCTTCACCGGTCCTTTGGCCCTCATGTTTTATCATAGGTGTAGTTTTAAATGAACTTTGTTACAAGTTATCTGCACTGAATAACGACTTATCTTTGAACAAACATGAACCCTACCTACTCTATTGCAATGCTTAAACGAGTATTAAAATGTACTCCACACACATAAGTATGTACTGTACACAGTTATAAATTGACTCAAATTAAGGGCATAAGTCTCACATTAAAATATAAGCCGTTTTGTAACATATAATTTACCACAATAGAGTATATTTTGTTGTTAAACGTGTAGAATCACATGCAAGTACACGTTTATAAACTATGGTTAAGTGAATTTCTGGGAACGTGTGGTCATAGCCATGAATAAAAAACTGCCCATTCTCACATCTAGACGCTGTGTTGGGCATGGCTACCACTAAGTCACTACTGTATGGCCAAAACAGATAAAAACACATTTATATGAGTCATGCTCATGTCCTGGGGCTGAAGCTGCTGCTGATCCATGTTGAATGAACGCTTGGCAACAGAGACCTCAAGGTATAATGAATATAAACAAATCATTACGTGTTACTACGTTGGAAGCTATAAATAAAGCACAGACATCAAAAAGCTCAACACATTAGTCAATAACACTGCCTTAAAAGGATATATATAAGAGACCGTATTGGCCCATTGGCCTTCTTCATAGCACAGCATGTGCTTTGTTATGCCATTGCTCAAAATGCTGCCGATTGCATTTTTTTTATTTTAAGGCCGTGTGATTGACAAATGTAATAAGTTTCAAGGTGTAATGGCTTTGGGGAGATAACAATGCACGTGAATATAACACGATACATTTCAGTGGGTGTTATAGCCATTTGAAAGTGCAATATGTAATGAGTGGTCATTTCGGTGAGGATCTCTTCCTCGTGGGCATGCGCTGGGTGGACCACTGTATTGCAGGATCAT